GTCAACTTGACATCCGCACATGGCATAGCAATCCCTGCACTTGTGGTCGGGTATCTCCCTATAATACCCCTCATTCTACACATCTTAAGTAAGGTGAAACTTTACAATCAAGCCCTAAACTTTCTCTCTTTTCAGAGAAAGTGATTTTATGTGTCGAAGATCCATTGCTCCCCCCTCTCCCCCACCCACTGTTGGGCCCCCCCTGCTCGCTTGGCCGCGTGGCTTTGGTCTTTGATCAAAGGTGTTTAATTATTTTGTAGGTACAATTTTGTTAAAACTAAAGATAGACTAATTTTTAATACCATAAATATGTGCACATCAACTACCAGTAGGATAAACAAGGTCATTCATGAGATTTTTGGAGCCCTAGGCAACAACAAAAAATGGACCGACACATAGAAGCTCTGGGAATGTGTTCTTAGATGCTTCTCAGTTGACGTTGAAGTATTTTTATATCACTACATGTTAGAGTGATTACCCTAATTAGTTGTTTCAAAATATAAATAATAAATTTGCAAAAAACACTTAAAGAAACACTTACATAAATAAATGATAGTTGTAGAAATACTGATACAAGTAACATATGGAGTTGGAGTACTAGGTGGCTATCACTCTCACTATTTATGGACTTTAGGTGGGGGCAATCTTTACCATTAAATTACTAGGTTTTGCTTATTTTTCTTGTAAAAATGCTTAACAAATGTCGGCTCTATGCAAGTGCTTAGTTTTCTGCCGACAATGCAAATTAACACGAACAACTAAAACATTTTTACAACACCGCCAGATGAAATGCTTAAGTTTTTGCAGTACCTACAACCGCCAAATAGATGTCCATAGTTTGTCCTCATTGTGGTGATGCTGAGGAAAGGGAAGAACATGTATTTTTTCATTATCAATATGCAAGGGTGTTTTGGTTTGGGAGTTCTATACAATTGGATTCTTCTCTGATACCCGGAGACAATTTCATTGAAGTATGGAAATGGATAGCCAACAAATATGAAGAAGAGCAAGATCAGGACAAATTAATGTGGTGGGTAGTGTGTGGATTATGGAGGCTCTGGAAGTGTAGGAATCGCCAAGTCTTTGAAAACAAAACTGTGGATCCTATTGATACTATTAGGATGCTTCAACAACAATGGCAGGAGTTGGAAGTGTAAGAGTATAACGAACTGCATGCATAGAACCACATACATATATGAACATGCATACGTGAGAGAAGTGAGTGCTTACCTGAGGAAGAACTCGACATTTCTGTAGAAGGATGAAGAGGAGATCTTCTACACTTAGCAGCCTAAAGTTCCAGCTAGAATAGGGTTCGCTCGTAATGGATGATGCTGTTAGTGCAAGGACCTCCTAATATATAGCCAATCATCCTTTATATCAGGCCTATCAACTGATACCCAGATATTATTAGGGTTTCATAATAGTCCTACTTGCTGCTGAACTCTTGTCAAAATGTGATAAGGTTTACCGAATATAGTTGCATGTTATTAGGACTCTTAATCTCAGCCAAGTAATAGCTTAATCTTCTCCACGTGATAACCCATAACCGAAATATGGGTTAGAGTGAGAAACAGAAGTCGTTCTCCTTGACACTCACAAACTTACATTCTCCCACTTGAGTGTCCAAGAAGAACGACATTACATTGATCGAGATTATTGTGATCACTAGTCCATAGAAACTGCAACTTTAACCTTTAACAACTTGTCACGCATAGCTTTAAATACTGGACCGTAGACACAGTATGTAATTCCTTCTACATGTGCATTTTATCATCACAAGCATTCAAACTATGGGCACTGTGTTGTTTGACAAAATTCAAATACTTCAGGTTGATAAACAAAATTCAACTCCTGAAACGAGCCACATGCAAGCACATGGCTCATATAATTTCAATAAGATAGTTATAAGAACAAAACATCATGAAAACATCCAATTAGCAAGAAAACATAACAAAACAGCAAGTGAGTTACTACTCCCACTTATTAATAGAAACAACAAGTGGGATATATTACTCCCATTCATCAACAGAATCGAAATCTTCTCGCATACCCATGTTGTGAACATGTTTCTTGAACACTCCCACGGGTAAGCCTTTAGTCATTGGATCAGCTAACATGGCATCAATTCCTATATGAACTATGTTGATTAGCCTTTTTCTGACTTCATCTCTTACACTCAAGTACATAATATCCATTAGTTTGCAAGTAATGGATCTCTTGTTATTTCTAGAGAAGAAGACTGCAGCCTTGTTGTCACAAAAAATAGTGATAGGTTTTTCAATCGAGTCCACAATCTTTAGTCCCATAATAAAATTCCTCAACCAGATTGCTTGTTTGGTGGCAGTATAGCAACCAATAAACTCTGCCTCCATAGTTGAGGAAGCAATCACCTTTTGCTTGGAACTTTTCCACGAGATAGCACCATCAGCAAGAAGAAAAACATACCCACTTGTAGATTTTCTGTCATCAACATAGCCAGCTAAGTCTGAATCCGAGTATGCAACCATTTCCAACTTTTCAACTTGTTGATACACTAGTGCCAGGTTCCTTTTTTTCTTTAAATACCTTAGTACTTTCTTAGCTGCAGTCCAGTGAGTATTCCCAGGATTAGATTGAAAACGTCCTAGGACACTGACTGCAAACCCTAGAGCAGGCCTAGTGCAAACTTGGGCATACATGATGCTGCCAACAAGTGAAGCGTAAGGCTTATCTTTCATCCCATTCTTCTCAAGATCATTTTTGGGACATTGATATGTGCTTAGCTTATCCCCTTTTGCAATGGGAAGCTCGCCACCTGCACATTTTTCCATATTAAATCTTTTCAAGATTCTGTCAATATAAGTCTTCTGAGATAATCTTAGCATTCTCTTGGATCTATGTCTCTCTATTTCAATACCAAGAACAAAATGTGCCTCACCAAGGTCTTTCATACGAAAACTCTCAGTCAACATGCCTTTGGTTGTGTGCAGAAGATTTGAATCAGAGCTAGCTAATAGAATATCGTCAACATATAGTACCAAGAATATAAATTTCGAGTCACTGACCTTGAGGTATATACAGTCATCAATTTTGTTTTCTTCAAAACCAAAAGCAGCAACAACTTGATCAAACTTAATGTACCATTGCCTGGATGATTGTTTTAAGCCATAGATGGATTTGTTGAGCCTGCAGACCATATACTCATTCCCTTCCTCCACAAAACCTGGTGGTTGAACCATTACTATTTCTTCAAACAAATCACCATTAAGAAACGCTGACTTTACATCCATTTGATGTAATTCCAGGTTGAAATGAGCAGTTAAGGCCATAATTACCCTCAGAGAGTCTTTGGATGAAACTGGTGAGAAGGTTTCATTATAGTCAATGCCTTATCTTTGTGTAAAACCCTTAGCCACGAGCCTAGCTTTATGTCATTCGACCTTTCCCACTACATTTCTTTTGGTTTTGAAAACCCACTTGCACCCAATGGGTTTGGCATTGCATGGGAGTGGCACCAACGTCCAAACTTTATTCTTTTCCATAGCTGCAAGTTCTTCAACCATTGCAGCATGCCATAATTCTGCTTTCGAGCTTTCGACAGCTTGATTAAATATGATGGGATCGTCTTCATTGCCAATATTGTATTTAGTCTCTTGTCAATAGACAAAATCTGGTATAATCACAGGCTTTCTTTGCCTATTAGATTGTCTTAAGGGCAGCTGCATTTGACACAGAGACTGAGCAACATCTGGGTCAGGAATTTGTTGCTCAGGCACTTGTTGTTCAGTATCATAATTGTCCACCGGTGGCTGTGCAGGTTCTAGAATGAACGTGTTATATTGTGATTGAGTATTTGGAAGAACAACGGGAAGGGAATACAAGCTGCTTTGGTTAACAAGCAACGGTGCATGCATGGTTGCTGAAGCTTGATCGCAATCATCTCCAATCTCTTCAAAATATGTGCTGCTGTGTTGCACAATACCTTCTTCTAAATCCTCAATGAATTTTGCATTGTTGGTTTCTTGAATTCTAGTGTGGGAATCAGAACAATAAAATTTGAAGCCTTTAGACTTTTCAGCATATCCAATGAATCTGCAACTTACAGTTCGTGGATCTAACTTCCTTTCTTGAGGGTTGTAAAAATGAGCCTCAGCCCTACATCCCCAGACGTGGAAATGATTGAAGTTTGGCTTCCTACCTGTCCAAGCTTCGAAAGGTACAACTTGGATAGATTTGCTTGGGACCCTATTCAGTGTATAGTTGGCTGTTTTGAGTGCTTCTCCCCAGAGAAAAATTGGAAGTTTGGAGCTTGAAAACATGGATCGAATCATGTCCTTCAGAGTCCTATTTTTCCTTTCTACCACGCCGTTTTGATATGGAGTGCCTGAAGTAGTATACTGTGCAACGATTCCTGATGCTTCAAGATAATGTGCAAAGGCTCCCTTATGTTGTCCAGTCTCTGTAAACCTGCCAAAATACTCACCACCCCTATCCGATCTCACAATTTTAATGTTCTTCTCAAGTTGTTTTTCAACCTCATTTTTGTATATTTTAAAACAATCAAGAACATAAGACTTTTCAGCTATGAGAAAAACATAACAGTATCTTGAAAAATCGTCAATGAAGGTGACAAAATATGAGTTACCACAGATGGTTTTATTTGGGAAAGGGCCACACACATCAGTGTGTATTATTTCTAAAAGTTGGTTACTTCTTGTGGATCCTAATTTTCTGGTATTGGTCATTTTCCCTTTGAAGCAATCGATACAAGTAGGTAAGCTTTCAAAATCAAGTTTTGGTATAAGATTTTGTTTTGATAAAATCACAAGTCTTTCTTTGGATATGTGTCCTAGTCTTTTATGCCAAAGAATGGGAGAATCATCACTTTGAAATAATCTTTTGGAACCAATGTGACAGACTGTAAAACATTCATGTAAATAATCACATTGAAGCTGCCATATATCAACTTGAAGAGAAGCATATCCAAGCAAGGTATCCAATTTATTTGAATGAAAAAGTCTTACACTTTCATTGTCACCAACAAAAGTATAACCTGATTTAACTAACTTAGAAGCTGAAATCGAATTCCTTCTCATAGAAGGTACATAGAGTACTGGACTTAAAAACAAAATGAAACCAGAAGAAAGCTTTAATGAAACATTGCCAATAGACTCGACTGCTACCTTGCTCCCATTCCCAACGAAAACATTGTAAATCTCATTATTTCTCTCCTTTAGTTTTGAGCAGCCCTTTCTTAACCAGCCAGTTTTTAAAACCAATGCAATTTTCCTTAGATGACCAACTTCTTTGCAGAAATAACAAGGCTTTGGAGCTTCAGTTGTGACTTTAAATTTTTGAGATCGTTTAAGAGGATTAGTATTTTTAAAAGAAGAAAAGGTTGAATTTTTCTTCTACTTACCAGCAGTCACAGATGACTGATCAACAGCAACATGTTTGCCCTTTGCATTGTGAACAAAGTTCACAGTCTCCACTTTATCAGTTGACAGCCTCAACTCTTCCTGTGCACACATGGAAATTAAGTCATCAATATCCCAGGTTGCTTTCTGAGTGTTGTACGACACCTTTAGCTGGCCATACTGTGCAGGCAAGGAATTCAGTGCCATATTCACCAAAAACTGGTATGTCAATGGATGCTCCAGGTCTTTCAGCTTCTGTGCAATGTCTTACATTTTCAGAATATGTTCTCTTATGCTTTCAACACCATCGAACTTCATGGATGTCAATTTAGTGAGAAAATTTCCAGTTTCAGCTTTTTCAGATTCTTTGAACTTGTTCCCTATGGCGTCAAAGAATGTTTTTGCACTGTCACTCTTTAGAATGCCACCTTTCACACTGCTTGTCATGGACCTTCTCATAATCATAAGAGCCATCCTGTTTACCTTCTCCCATTGAGCAAACTTCGACTTTTGTTCTGTTGTGCTTTCATTAGTCAGTGCAGCAGGCTTGTCCTCCCTTAGAGCCAAGTCAAAATCCATCATGCCAAGAGCTATCTCCAAGTCCTCCTTCCATTTCTTGTAATTGGAACCCGTTAGGGTTTCAATGTTAGAGTAGTTGAGAGAAGTCATAGCTGCAACAACCATAATTATTTGTTATTTGTTCTCATAAGCTCATCATTAAGAGTCCAAAATATGAACAATTAATGGCATCGTAAAACATATAATACCAGTTACATGTTTAGATCGAAAACTAATTATATTAGGATTTCCACAATTGAAATACAAGGTTTCACATTCACTAGACAATTTTAACACTTTTGAGCAGATAAAATTGCTTGGATCATGATTTTGCATCCTACTTATACACCAATTAAACATGACTGAATATAAGAATTCTTTAGAATTATCTCAAAATATATTCACCATCAGTTGAATCATTATGTTCAACATGAATAGGTACTAGAATACATGATTCAAACACTTTTGAGTTGAAATTGATCATGATTCACAAAAGCGGTTTGGATGTCAAGTCATTAGTGACAATAGTTCTTCAAGGTCCGGAGATTCTCCTTCATTTTCTGCGAATAAACTTTGCAGAACAAACATATATATGTATATATGTTTATGTGCGTGTCTATGTATAAGTGAAACATGGATGCGAGTTCAATAGACTAACATACAATGATAATTGTCAATAAAACATCAGTTTCAATATGCGGAAGACTTTTATCAGGATCACAATTTGTTTAATCAGGATCTTGCGTAAGGATTCTAAACATGACAGTTTGTGCTCTGATACCACATGTAAGAGTATAACGAACTGCATGCATAGAACCACATACATATATGAACATGCATACGTGAGAGAAGTGAGTGCTTACTTGAGGAAGAACTCGACATTTCTACAGAAGGATGAAGAGGAGATCTTCTACACTCAACAGGCTAGAGTTCCAGCTAGAATAGGGTTCCCTCATAATGGATGATGCTGTGAGTGCGGGGACCTCCTAATATATAGCCATTCATCCTTGATATCAGGCCTATCAACTGATACCCGGATATTATTAGGGTTTCATAATAGTCCTACTTGCTGCTGAACTCTTGTCAAAACATGATAAGGTTTACCGAATATAGTTGCATGTTATTAGGACTCTTAATCTCAGCCAAGTAATAGCTTAATCTTCTCCACGTGATAACCCATAACCGAAACATGGGTTAGAGTGAGAAACAGAAGTCGTTCTCCTTGACACTCACAAACTTACAGGAAGATATACCAAAGATTGATGGCACACGGACGGTTGAGGTACGGCGGTGTGAAAGGGTGGAAATGGAATTGCCTTCTACTTGGGTATGTCCTTCTTTTCGCACGACTAAGTTTAATAATGATGGTGCTTGGATAAAAAAAAAGGGACTGGGAGGATTTGGTTGGGTGGAAAGGGATTTGGCAGGGATTTTTAGAGCGACTAATGGTGTAGGAAATGTTGCATGTGAATCTAGTTTGATGGCGGAGGCAGAGGCATTACGTGCAGCCTTAATTAGTGTTGTGGAGAGAGGCTTTGATGTTATCCTGGTGGAAACGGATTCAAAGGTTCTTGGGTATGTCAACCGTACGCTGTTATTCAAGGTTTTCTTTATGATATCAATTGTGTATGGGCAATGTGGGACTCTCAGTCCCTCACAAGTTCCAAGTTCCAATATGCCCCTGACACGGGTTGTACACTGAAACATTTGGGGCATTCTCACTGTGGTGGTGGAGACACCGGTTGGAGGGTAGGTGGGTTGAATGTGGGATGGGCTTGTTGTGAGTGGAGGGGATGGAAGGCTGGTAGTATTTCAGTGAGGGATAAGGCATGTTTGGATAGCACAAATTTGTTTGAAAAAAGGGAAAAAGGCTGATTGGTTATGTGTGGGCTGATTTGGATGGCACAACAATACATGTTTCGCAAAAAAGGATAAAAACTAATAGTCCATAAAAAACATAATAATTTTTTTTTTCTTTATATTTATAAATATAAATGATGTTGTTTTTTTTGTTCATTTATTTGTTTCTCTCTCCATGTAGGATATGCTTAGTCAAACATAGAGGTAACCATATTTCATGCTCTCCACACATTCTTTTTTAATTCACACACTTATATTAATTTTTTACTGTCGGATCGAATTAAGTAAAGAAGATCAATAGACAAAAATTAACATGAGTGTATGAGAAATAAAAAATCATGTGTAAATAGCATTACACATTTCATTTAGAGGCTTTATCACCAGGAATCCTTATTAATTACAAATTCTTATACATCATTAAACATGGAAGTATTAATTTTAATATATATAATATTTATTATATTTTTATTATATTTAATTACGGTGTCCTAGTCTTGTCCGTATTTTATTTTGAGATTTTCTGTGTTATCTATCATGTCACATGTCACCGTATTCGTGTCCGTGTCCGTGCAACTTAGCCTATATATATAGATACTTACGATCGAAATTATCTTAAAACACAACTGCTTATGATCGAAATTATCTTATAATTTAACCATCCAGTAGATAGTTGACACATGTTTACATACGAACTTCTGACTTGACATTAAAACCCAAAAACACAAGGGCAATCAGGGGTGGAGCCACCAAGGGACTAGGGTAGTCCCTGGCCCATCCTAACTTCATCTGAGGTGTGAACCTCATGGAAGAAGATGAAGCAAATGACGTCATTAAGCTGTTTTGATTTTAAATCTTTTCGGCTGTCTAATTAAACGATAAGTTTGGCAGGGGAGTTTTAAAAGAGATGTGCAATTTTAAATGGACAAAGCAACCCCACTTCTGGTTCGATTCTCTCACCTAACAGTAATATACACCCTATAATTTTCTAAAGCAACCCACCTTCTTTATTTGTAGACCTCTCCCCCTTTTCCTTCTTTTTCTACTTCTTTGTATTTTCTTTAGCCTTCCACAACCTACCTCTTACTTGGTTGTCTGGGTTTTTACATTTTCTTCTTCTTAGTATTGAATTTAAGAGAATTTTTTTAGTTTTGTGAGGATTATACAAATTGCATATGTCAACATGTTATGAATTCAACTTTTTACACAAACTCATATATATATATATATATATAATTGTGAAAGGCCCCTCCTCATTCAGAATTCTGGCCCCACCACTGAGGGCAATGAAAGCAAATATCTACTGTTGAGGTATGGTTGAATTGAGTCAAGTACTGCAAAGTATACACAGATAGGAACGCTTAAAATGATTAAAATTTACATTCGGCTGTTTTTCTTCTTGTAGTTATTTAGTATTACAGAATTATTGTTCTCACAAAAATTGTTCTTTATTATTTAAGGGTGGGAGAGCGCAAGATGCAGGCTTTTAGTTACTAGAAATTGAAGCACTACACAAACTTATTTGACAACCATGCACGAAGCCATATTGTAAGCAGCTATCAAATCCAATTTTAACATCTGCAATTTTCTCCTACAAAGCCAGTAATGTAAGCATACGCTTAGTGTCAAGAGGCGGAACTACACTAGGGCCAGACATGGCCCTTCCCCCCAGCAAGATTTCATAAGAACCCATAAGCTTTAGTTCATGTTTATAGTGGCTCCCCCAAGGCTCCCCCAATGCAAATTTTTTAATGGAACAACTTCATTTGCCAATTCATAGTAATGTTTGTGGTCCAATTACACAATTAACATCGATAAACAAAGGAAATAGGTTACATGAACCTATTAATATCCAATAGTCAAAACAAATGACATTTCAAATAAAAGCTCCGTTTTCTGTATATGTTTTATTGTTCTATATTGAAAATGATTTCTACTAAAACTTGTATCATATATTGTGACATCCCACATCGTCCAGGGGAGTAGATCCTGTAAGCTTTATATGTATATTCCCACCTTTACCTAGCATGAGGCATTTTAGGAGCTCCGAAGTTAAGCGAGAAAGGGGCCAGAGCATTCCTAGGATGGGTGACCCACTGGGAAATTCTCGTGTGAGTTCCCAGAAACAAAACCGTGAGGGCGTGGTCGGGGCCCAAAGCGACAATATCGTGCTACGGTGGAGTCAAGCTCGGGATGTGGTGGGGGCTCGGGCCGAGATGTGACAATTTGGTATTAGAGCCAATCCCTGGCTGAAGTGTGCCAACAAGGACGTCGGGCCCTTAAAGGGGGTGGAATGTGACATCCCACATCGCCCAGGGGAGTGGATCTTGTAAGTCTTATATGTATATTCTCATCTTTACCTAGCATGAGGTCTTTTGGGAGCTCACTGGCTTCGGGTTCCGTAGGAACTCTGAAGTTAAGCGAAAAAATGGGTCAGAGCATTCCTATAATAGGTGACCTACTGGGAAGTTCTCGTGTGAGTTCCCAGAAATAAAACCATAAGGGCATGGTCGGGGCCCAAAATAGATAATATCGTGCTACGATGGAGTCGAGCACGGGCTTTCTTTTGAAAGCTCAAAAAAAAAAATTGTAATCTAAGAATAACATAAATGGCATGTTTGTGAGTTATTATGCCAGAAGAATTCTTGGTCTTTTGAAAGCTCAAAAAAAAAAAAAAATTGTAATCTAATGGCATGTTTGTGAATTATTATGCCAGAAGAATTCTTGGCCTTTTGAAAGCTCAAAAAAAAAAAAAAATGTAATCTAAGAATGACATAATGACATAAATGGCATGTTTGTGAGTTATTATGCAAGAAGAATTCTTGGTCATCATCCATTAGAAGCACAACAGAAACTTTATTAAAAATAATTGTTTCCTAAAAATACACTTGGAAATGTTTTCTATGAAAACCTGTGATAACTACTACTTCAAAACAAATTTAAATATTCTTCTATAACTCCTAGTACTTTCAAATTATTCCTGTCAAACATCTAAAAATCTTCTCGAATACAAAATAATAAAAAAATTATCAAAGAAAGAATCAATGGTAAACAAACTCAATACGCGTTTAGCTAGATAACATAATACCATATGGCATGCAAGTCATTACCTTCACATAGTACAAATTTGGTATAGTTCGAACAATTAGTTAGTTAGGTTTAGCATATCCTATGTTATTTTATATATTCAAGTGCCGCAGAACACTCTTGTGGGCTCACTTCAAATAGTATTCAAATATTTGAAGCTGTTGTTTAATTTGTACATTTTTTTTTTCAAAGATTATTCTTGAGAAATTATTAATATATAGTTGTAAGTTGTAACAAAAAATAGACGAACATGATATTTTAAGAAAGCACAAAAGTGACAAACATATATTTGAGTGTTTAAATACCTTTTTTTTTCTTTTTTTTTTTGAGAAAAATAAATAGTTTCTGTTACAATATGTATTCGTCTCTGGATATACTCTTCTAGACAACATTTTTAAGGATATAAATTTTATTATATAAGAATTGTCACTTTTGCTTCCAAATTTGGAGCCAAAAAATATTAAGGAGCCAAATTGGCTCAAAATTGTCCCATCTAAGATTTTTAATTTTTTTTTTAACAAAACGATTTTTTTTTATATAACATTATTTACTCATACACTAAGTTAATAATAATTGTGAATATGAGAATTCTTTTTAAAAATATAAGGTTGATGCACCCACATATACTATAACCACTGTACATTAAATAATATAAGGAATCATATATATTTTGTATCAACCAACGTTCTAAAAGATATTAAGCGCTACTTAGGCGGCGAGATGGTGCCTAAAACTTAAGCGGCTAGGTGGGGGCTTTGACTTAATTAAATTTATTATCTAACATCACTACAAAAAGAAAAAAAAAAATTAAAAAAAAAAAAATTTGCCAGACGAAACAACTTCGTCGCTTGAGATTTTAAGGGACAGAAGTTTGTTAGCCAAGAAACAATCAAGCAAAACTCATCGTGGAGAGACTTACACGACAGATGCACTATTCCATCGGGTAAATACACGTTTGTGGATGCAACTTTCTATCGTATTTTTCTTTGACGAAAATGCACTTGCAAAATAATAACACATTTGATTAAGGCCAAAAGACTCACTTGCCCACAATGCATTGGGGGGGGGGGGTGTGCAGGCTTTGGCCAAAGAATCTCTAATGCCAAACTTAGAATTCTGAAAAGAATGTATTTAAGAGTCTATGGGTAACAAATGGCTAAGCATTTTAATGAGATAAGTGGGGTATTTATAGAAAGGTGGCCGTAGACCTGATATTCGTGTTGTGTTTCTCGTGTATCATTTTCGTGTCATACCCGATAACTTAACGGGTCATGTCGTGTAACACCTGTGAAAGTAAACGGGTAATATGGCCATCAACCCATTAATATTATCAAGTAATATGACCCGGCCCGTTACCCATTAAGAAAAATATATTTTAAATCAATAACTAATGAAAATGAAAAACATAATTTGACCCAAAAAAATGTGAAACATATTACTAAATTAATATATACATACTAAAATTTCGAAGTTGACCCCTTCATAAAAGTTGTAAAGCTTGTTGTTAGGGTAAAATTGGCTATTCCTAAATAAAACGCCTGAGTCTGTAATGTCTTAGACTAGTACATGTTTTCAATTTTATTTATTATAGTCTAAGTTTGTCTCTCGTGCTCTTGATCACAAGAATAGTCAACGTTTCAGAGACATCCACTCCTGTAAGTTTGTCATGCATAAGGATTTCATGTAGTTAGGTTTATCTTGGTTCAAATACAAATACATTTAGTTTTGGCTGCATGTTCTTGTACTTACGAATCGACTGATTTGGTTATATGTTATGGACTAAACTATAGGT